TCAGACGATTTGACAAACATATTCATACATGTACAGTATATATAATAAACTTTATTCTTGTCTCTGTGGTCTCGCTCATTTTCTTGCCAAAGGAAGGTCGTCCACCCTCCACAGCCGCCGCTGAGCAGAAGGTTAGGGATAGACCGTCGGGTGCACTTGCCGGAGAAATGTTCAACATTTCTGGATGGACCATTCTCACCAGGCTGCTTTTCCAACTTCAAGCACGGACATCTCCGCGTAGTCGGCTACTCGTTGTGGGGTTGACAGCGACCTGGTCTCGTGACCAAGGACGTCACTGGAAGAAGCCCAATATATCAAACAATCGGGTTTGCGAAGTACAAAGGCTTGGTCACAAGGCGGTCTTCAGCATTTAAACAATGTTAAACATACCTGAAGATGTAAAACATAGCGTATCTTGGACCATTTTCTCCTTGTGTTCGGTTGCACCACCGTTCAGCGCAAGACAGAACACCGTCCGACCTTCCGGTGCACCGAGGATCCCTTTGCCGAGCACTGGGAACCTCAAAGACTGCGCCTTGGCGACCGAGGTTCGCAGAGGACCGATGTTATTGTGGCAAAGGCCAGACAGTGAGTGGAGGGGACTTCCAAGGTTATTCGACCTGAAAAAACGGGTTCGATCCACCTACCCTCTTGCCCAGAAAACTGTTTGGAGTTGGATTCCGCGATCATGCACATCAATTTTGTGCCCTCAACGTCCACCTTTCTGTTTGTTCGCAGGGAAGGTCGAATTCGCAGGAAAAGACCCCGAACGATCCTGAACCAGACATGGAACACATCCCACAGTCTTTGGTGCATCCCAGGGCACAGACGGTGCCACTTGTTGACCGTTAAAAAAAACTTGTTCCCAGTCGAAACTGCGGTCTGGACTGCCTCAGACGGGCTCACATCTCGGCTCAAGACCACGACACCCATCGCGACTCCAAAGCCACACGGGCGGGGTCCGAAGCGTGTCCATGGAGTCTACTCTGGGGTTTTTGCCAACCCCAAAGCCTCTTGGTGGTGTTTTTTCGGACCGATGGATGGGGGTCATGGCTTTTTTGAAGTCAGATATTGTTGGCGCACACGGCGTGAGAAAGAGTTCTTGACAGTCTTAACATTTCGAGAGCTGAGAGTGAAACAACCGGGAAAGATAGACCATGCATCCTGCAAACCTGCAAACTGCACAAATCCGGTCCCGGGTTGAACAGAGGATTGTGGCAAGAGTTGTGGGAGCAACTGAGGAGCTGGATATGTGTTTAGCCCCAGAGGCTGAATTGTTTTCCCGAGTTTTGCAATTCACAGTCGCCCTGCCTGCCTAAGGTTGAGAGGTTGATGGTACAAGGATGTAACAGGCAAATCACTTCCACTATGGAGTCGCAGTAAACATAAATCAACAAATGCAGTAATCAGACATGCACACGATGCATGATACCATTGTTGGTCGTTGCAGAAGTTGTTTTATGGTCAGATCATGTTCCAGCGGCAAACTGCGTTGCAGGGTCTGATTTCACAGTGTGGCTTCTGTTTTTTGATGAACAGACCGTAAACACACCAACGGTCCGGCAATTTTCTGTGCCGCTTCGCAGACTGAATTGGTCACTTCTGCACATCGAGAGCCAAGAATGAGAAGATGTGTCTTATATAATACCTATGATTAACGTTATCAAAATACGCGAACTGCTTGAGATGAGAGTTAGTACTAGTACCAAAAGTTAGCTTTGTCCAGGGATCTCCCACAGTGCATCTCATTTGCCCTCAGCCAACTGAGGCGCCCAGAGCTGCCAACGGATCTGTCGTTGCTTGAGGCCTCCTCCCAAGTGGAGGAGATCGCAGGTGGGGAACCACCGACTCGCCGATCTGGACACTGGTCCACTCTTGGAAGAAACGTAGGGCCAGAGTGGCATGCAGATCACATGGACTGGACAGTCAAACGATGGCAACAAAGGTCCAGTCCAATCACGAAGGGAGCAGGAAAGTTCATGGTGTGAGGCAACGGGTCAATCACAGGTTTTTGTGGACTCGTATTATATACTTATCCTCCAAGGGTAATAGCTTAGTGATCCAGGAAGTGGATTCTCCCAATGGTGTTTTTGAACCCCATGATTGTGACAACACTACTTGCCCGCTACTTACTCGGCAGGCAAATCGATCACCCTTCAGGGACCAGTTTGGCCTGCTCACCCCTTATGAAACACATTTGTACGAAATAAATTGGGTCGACGCCTTCGTTCAAACAGAGGCAAGAGGTGAACACCCGCTGCACCGCCCCACTGCCTGATGCCCTTGTTTTGAGTAGAGGAACAGATACAGTATACCTTCTTCTTGTAAATCCGGCTCGGTTGGGCACACGTTACCGCCGTTGGGCGTGTGTTCAGGCGAGGAGGCCTTACCAGATGTGTTGGATCCGCTGGAGGAGGGTGACAGGTCCATCGGGTGCACCATGGAAGAGATGGTCCTACCGAGTGTCATGGCACAGATGGAGAGGCTTTCCTTCGTGGGGCCTCAGAGGGTGGGCTAGTGGGCTCGTGGGTCCAACGCGGCGATTGGATTTGTTTATTATTTCCAGGGCTATGAAAAGGAACACTTAAGTCCTAAAAGTAGTCTATTCGAATCTGGAATCTAGGTGTGAGGTGTGGCTGAAGAATAGACACAAAGACCCAAGACACTGCAGTTTGGGAATCCATACATGCATTCCAGCTGCCAGCAGGGTTTTGACAGAACCTTGCTCTTTCGCCTTAAGATGCCTTCACCACCGATCTACAGTATTCGTCGAAGGATCTCCCTACTTCACATCGCCTGGACGAAGGGCACGGTCTGGTGGACCTGTGACGGCCATGCACATTTGCGAGCAAATCACCCGGAATCACCTCGAATTAACCTTTGAGCCTCTAGGTCTAAGTCAGGACGCCAACCTTATTTTGTCGGAATCCCTGCAGCCTGGAGTGCAGATGGGAACCCCTAGAGTATCATTTGGAATTCGCTTGGTGATTGCGTCATCTTGAGCAATGTAATGACGGGTATATCACTTTCCATGCCTCATCGTATTCCCTCTTATAGTCGTAATTGCGCTGTGGACTGGGGCTTCTTCACCTGGAAACTATCAATTTGTGCAAGAGCAAGGGTCCAAAGCATGTGACTAGTGTGTCTTATTCACTGCAAAACTTCTCGAGAAGGGACGTTAGAAGCCCAGTGTGCTTTCCCTGGTGACCAGCCTCTCTGGGTGTGATTAGTGATGATTAGTGATACTGCAATCAGACTCACTGGAGGGGCACACTAGACCATGTTGTACATTATTCTATTTTCAATCGTGATATATTGTACTGGCAACGGATCCCTGCACCACCTTCAAGAAGGGCTCCTTGGCTCTCACGCTTGTTCTCTTCCAGAAGTCACACGGCCGTCCTCGGCCGCCAATCCACTGTAGCCCCACACGATCGTCCTCGATTGTCCACACGATGGCTCACGCACGCCGCAAAAGCCCCCTGACCTTCGAGCCCTTGCTTCAAACGACAGTTCGTGCTTCCAACACACATAGCGACCTTCCGAGCAAACGAAGTGAAGACAGTCTCTGGTGGAATTGGCACATATTAACACTAGACTATGTTATATTAAAAGAACTATTCTTATCCACTTGAGCAGCATCAAAAACACTCAAGAAATACATTTAGATGAGGTTCATGTGGGTACTGTAATGGACCGCGCAAGTGAACATCCAGAGCGCGAAAGCTTTGAGAAAGCTTCGTGAAGGTGACATTTGGATCCGTTGTCGCAAAAGTAGTTGCGAAAGCTTTTCTGCAATTCATGTCTTTCCTGTTCACCATGGTGGCTCCACCAGCAATATCTCAACCCCTGGTGTCGGGTTTCCAGGTTTCCCGAGCGGCCCCTTCCTGAGGCTTCGAGTCGTTCCGCTCCTGGGAGGTGCCGCTCTCTGGCGAGCCTCCGCGGATGCCCAACCGCATGCTGCACGAGTATCATCTCTACCGCTTGCGAGGCGCTTTGAAGCTCGGAGTCGTCTGACGAGAGGTCGCTCGCTTCGGCTCGGAGTCTGACGAGAATCCAACATGCCACTGGCATCAGCATCAACCATCCTTGCCATCGTCGTCTTAATCATCGTCAAGCTGTTTGATGGCTCCTGTGTTGTTTCTCAATGAATGGTTTGATGTTTGAAGATACAGAGTTTCAAAAGACGAAGTCCGTTGCTGAACATCCAAGGACCAGGATTGACCGGAAGCGAGGAGCTTTTGCCAAGGAAATTTATTCCTGCCGAGGCGTGATCATGTTAGGTACCTCCATGATACAAGGAAAGACCAAAATGCCTGTACGATTCACCTCACCCATGCCATGCACGAAGATAGAACATTTTACCTCAGAGCTTTGGATCACTGGAACCAGAGTTGAAATTGACTACAAGTACGCTGATTGCTTATGACCGTGGCAAATCCATTCAGCAAGTCTTTGGCAAATTCACAAAGAAGGGACCGCTGAAGTAGAGGGAGCAGTCCACCGTTTCACTCCCACCCCACTGAAAAAGCTAAGAACACCTTTGTATGGTAGATCAAAAGCCTGCTCTAAACATTTGCTGTTAGAAGGTGCAACGCTCTAAACACACGGATCCGTGGGGTGTGAAGGAAAGACGACCAAATCCTCTGGTGCCCTGTATCAAAGTTCCAAAGCAAAGATGCGAGTTGACCTTCCTGGCCTTTTGTCATCCCTTGAGAATGAATTGCTCCAGAGACAGCTTGAGTACATTCCTTGTTGTTGTGATCATTCCACCAGTTCCGTCACGTCATGGGCCTGATGGCTTGGTTGGATGTAGATTTCCATCGGAGAATGCCGGGAGTCAATTCACAAATCCTCCAATCCAATCATTCCCAATTCCCAAAAACAAGCAATCGACGTAAGACATCATTGAACTGACTGACTGACGGACAGATGGACGGACTGACGGGCTGAGAGAACTTTCTGGTGTGATTGTATAAAAGGGAAAACCGTGAAAGCCTCGTTCCTGTGGGACTCCACTCCTCTTAACTTCTTGGATAACAAAAAGAACACGCTGGTTTGTTTCGCAGACCACTTCATCGCCTCACGAAGTAGGGATTGCCATGGTCCATAGTATCCATAGATGACAGATGACAGCTGCCAGATAGGAAGATGAATCTCTGGTGAACGTGTCTTGCATAGTAATAAGCTACTAGGAACAAGTGCATCGCTACTAGGAACAGGTGCCTTACTAGTAGTAACAAGAAGCTAGTAGAAACAAGTGCCACGCTACTAGTAACAGG